CAACATTGGATGGCCAATGGATCTCCAAAAAAAGAAGGTGAAGAAGAAACATAATGATCAAGGGAGGTTAAGTGTTACTTTGGATATAACTAACATCCATGAATCTAATCAAACTGTGCATTGTCATGTTAAGCATATAAAGAGTAGATTATGGTTTTATGCATCCTTCATCTATATATGCTTCCAAAGAGGTGATAGAGAGAAGAAGACTTTGGGTGAGCTCAAATTTCACTCTAGTAACTATTTGGATTATACATGGATTATTCTGGGGGATTTCAATGTGATTAGAAATCCTAAGGAATCTTTTGGATGCTCTGCTAAGTGGAACAAGGCTATGGAGGAATTTGAGGAGTGCATTCAGGACTCTGAACTGGATGATCTTAGATTCTCTGGTATTCTTTATACTGGGGTCAACAACAAGAATGAGTCCTGGATCTCCAGGAAACTGGATAGGGTTTCAGTGAATGAAACCTGGAATAGATGTATTCACCACTCATGTGCTGAGTTCCTTCCTCAAGGTGTTTCTGATCATTCTCCTACACTTGTTAAAATTGCTGAACCTGTGGGTAAGAGAATATCCCCCTTCAAGTTCTTAGTCACATTACTAATCAAGATGATTTCTTAGGTACTGTTTCTCATGAGTGGAATATCAGTGTTCAAGGCACCAAGCAATTCCAAGTTCGTAGCAAGTTAAGGAAGCTGAAATACAAGTTTAAGGATACAATCAAGAAGAGAGGTCCTGTTATAGTGATTGCTTTGAAGGCTAAAGCTATCTTGGATGATCGTCAAAAAGGCATTGATGTCAACCTCACTGATCAGAGACTTATGAGTGTGTTGAGATCATTTAGGAATAACTATCTTGTTGTTGCAAAAGTGGACAACATGGAGTATAAGCAGAAATCCATAGTGTTTTGGTTGACAGCGGGTGACAATAATACCAATTTCTTTTTTAAAACCATGTTAGGTGGAAGAAATAGAAAGAAAATTCTTTCCATTAGAAAAATGGATGGGGGTTGTGGTTGAGGGTGAGGCTGTTGTTAAGAAGGAGGCTTGTGACTTCTTTATTAATCGTATGGGGTTGGCTATCCCCTCCCTTGACAGTGCTGAGTGTGTGTATTTTCTTAGAGATATGGTCCACAGTCAAGTTTTTGGTCAGCAGACCATGAACATGACTGTTATGTTCACCAATGAGGAGATCATGTACGCTTTCTTTTCTATGAATGATCATAAGGTCTTGGGCCTGATGGGTTTAAATTCTTATTATATTTTCTTTGAAAGAAAAGAGATCTCCCATGCTTTGGCATATGTATATGAAAGTTTGTCATTGTAATCTGTAAGTTTTATGTTTGACCAAAAGTTTGGCAGTTCAATTCAAACATAATTGAATAATAGTATTCTGCTTATTACGATCAATGATTGTGAGTTTCAATTTGTTCCTAGAATTTTTTTAATCAATATATGCTTGAGATAATTAAACATGGTTTTGCTTTACAGTTGATTTTGACAATCAACAAGTAGTTTGACCAAGTGAAATACATCACCTATGTTGGTAATTTTGGGTTCATGTAAAGATAGTTGAGACCCCTTGAGTTGTCCATGTAAAGGTAGTTAAGAAGGTGAGATGATGGAATGTTTTGTGTATAATTTTATGAACATGTTATTATGTGGAATAGAGATCATATGCCTAGACTGACATATACATGAAACTTTAACATCACAATACTTCAGAATTTAAAATTGGGATTCTTAATGTGAATGCATGGGCCAGACTCAAAACTTCGTGTTGAAATAGTCGAAATTACCGAATCGTTTCTATTTTTAAAGAGACGGAAATGATACAATAATTGTGTCAAAATTCTAATGTTTCGAGATATTTCAAAATATTTAAAAGTATTTTGAGATGATTCCACCAATATCTCAAAATGTTTCAAGATGTTGTGATACATTTTTACATTAATGACCAAAATACCAATATATAAATTTTAGTCAAGGAGGAGTAAGAGGGGGAGAATGAGGTTATTTTTGTTTTTTTGGCATTTAAATTTGGAAAAAAAAAAAACATGTTTGGTCCTTATACCTAACCAATTACGCCTATGTGTTAGGCATAGTGTCAAATTGGACATAAACTATAATGGTTCACTTTAATATTTTTTTTTTTAATTTAACAGTCAAGGTATGTCCGAACTAATTTACGTACATATCGATTAATCCTTTATCTGGTCAAATCAAAGGCAAACTATCCAAATAAATACCCAAAACCAAACGAATGTTTACTAGTGACGTTTGCCATTATTTCTACTCTTTACCAAAATCGAACCCAAGAATCCATTCGCATCAGGATTCTTAAGTTTGGCCAAACTTCGAATAACTTAGACTTGCTTAGATCAAAGAACAAATAATAAGAAAACAAAGCTTAGATTGTCCAATGTTCCTAATGGACTTGGGCTTCGTTTGATTATAACTAAAACATAGTAAGAGATTTCAATTCTTAATTGATATTGGTGAAGACAAACTAACATGGCTATGACATGTAAAGCATGCACAATTAGGTAAATTATTATATACGATAAAGAATCGCATATAACAATAATGTAGTCGAGTGCACGAACTTTCCATCATGAGGGAGTTTGAATGAAAAATATAGAGTTTTAAAATTTTCCGAGCTAGCTATATATAGGTGGAATGCTCAACTTGCGCAGCTAGTGAAACACATCCAGAATTAATTTGAGGAATGGTGAATGGTCCATCTAATAAGCCTTTCGATACCAATCTATATGCTGTCTCTGTGAAATGATAACCATCCCAGTCAACATATAAGGAAGGGTTGTCACAGACAACAATTGGTCTCACGCCACACGGCATAGAGTCGCTAACATTATACTGGCCTCCCGATCCACAGCATGCTACTAGAGCTCCTTTCATGAATCCTGCAATGGCCAATAACTATGTGTCAATAGTACAAAGTTGTATCTAAACAAATGGGTTATTGGTTTTGTAGACTTTAATATGTTTGAAGGATGTCGACAACTGGAATGAGGAGCGGATAATAAGAACACATGACCATTTTAATCAAAGGGTGTTCTGAAAGCATTTGACCTATTTATAGGTGTTTACATCCAAAAATAGTAAGATCAAAGGGTGTCACGAGGGAGGAATCCGACAGTTATAAAAGAGTATGTGAGAGTCCACGATTAACAAAACTGTTAGAAGAGTACGACTCTCAAAATCACGGAAAATGAGAAAACGTAATATCATGAGCCGTCAGTTGATGATGGTTCAATGGATGTCCAAGCATCGAGAGAAACAAAGCCATGATCACAGTAATGGTCAAAAAAGATGGGTCGACTGTTGAAGGTTATCACTATAAATAGCAGAGGCTAGACCACTGAGAGAGAATCCACAATCAAACACAAAAACTCTTCACATAGCTAACCCACCTTATACTTATTTCTTGCTCCCAAGCAATTTTACTTTTTCTGTAATCATTACTCCGGTAATCTTTTACTACTTTCATTTAATTTTAATTGCAGTATTTGTTTCATCTTTCAGATTTAGACTCAATTTACTTTCTACTTTTCATTCTCGTTGTTCTTTTTACGGAGCAATTCATTATTCTTTTATTTGAGAAATTATTTAAGGTCCTTGAATCATAAACCAAATATAGAAACGTACCATATTTATACGGATTGCGATAAAGCTGCATTGCAGCACTGTGAATATCGGCATAGATGATGGTGGCATGAGGATGAAGCTCACGAATGTCATTCAATTCTCTCTGGAGCAGTTCATTGTGATACTCAGTGAAATTGTTGAAACAAATGAGGCAGCCCATTGTGTCATAGTCTGCCTTGTTCGAACTCGCATATTTTGTAAGATAAGCTCCTGCACATCCTAGTGGTAGAATCGCTGGGACAACGAGCGTCACGGCCCCAAGATCGACAAGCTCCTGCATTGCCACATTCAAAGTAAATCGTAGAAAAAATGTATGTAATTGTTCATTTTCTTTTTTCCTTCTTAGGACGATTCAAAAAGCACCCTAAATGCATGCAATCGTTATGCAAATCCCTTCTTTCTGCCTTGTGAAGTTATAATGAGACCCACAAAAAATGATCATTCCCTCCGACATAAATAGGGCCATAACAGAACAAGAAATTGGACTTTTAGGCCAACAATTGTTGTAACTAAATGTGAAAAAAAAAATGTCGCTATAAGTTCTAGTGATATTATTTTATTTTTTTTCACTAAGCCACGACAATAAGTGTTGCGGCTATAAATCATTTAGTGGTAACATTTAAAAGTTGTAGCTAAATTTGAAAGTTTTAGCCACGATATTTAGATAAAATTGTAATTTAAATCTCATTGTTAGAAGTTTAATTTCTCGTAGTGCCACTAACCACTTTTAACATATACTAGTAATACATGACGTGCGTTGCACGTGAATATATTTAAATAATAATTTATTTATAAAAAAATTAAATTTTATTTAAAATTAAATTAATAAAATTTTAGGCTAATAGAACATAAAAGAAAAAAGAATGACATTAATAAAGATAAGTGAGGATATAATTGATATTATAGTAATAAATAAGGATAAAATAATAAATCAAGTTTTTTTCACAGATACTGATATTTATAAGTAATATAGATAAAAGAACCCAAACTGATGGCTAAGCTTGAAGGGAAATAGGGGATCGAGTTGATCGTATGACCTCCCGCTGAATTTCCATTTTTCCAAAAGCTTAAAAATTAGAATTTTGACCTAAATTTAAAATAAGTTTTTTGTAATTTACAACTTGAAAGATCTTAAATATCCCACTTTTCACCCTCAAAGATAAAAATTTTTTATATTATATCCTCAATATATCAAAAATATTGTAATGTGACTTTTTTATTAATTTTCGGTATTTTTTTCGTCAAAAGTCATCTTATTAACATTGACAGAAAAACTACCAGAAAACTAATAGAAATGTCATATTACAACTCTTTTGATACATTGAAAGTGTAATATAAAAAAATTTAATTTTTTAAGGTAAAAAGTAAAAATTTTAAAATCTTTTAAGGTACAAAATATAATTCACCCATTTAAAGTTGCATAAGCCAGTGGAGGGACTACCGTGAAGAAAAGAACAATACATACATGGTTATTCAGAGATCAATGTTGCAAATAATCATAAAAAAAAATAATTATTGGCGTAGCTGCAATTCTCCAGTTATGCAATTCTTCAAACATTACTGGTCTTACATTGATGGCTGAACCGATGGCTTTAACAACTAAAGGTACAAATGATCGAATCTCATCTGGGCTGGCGTTTGATACGAACGAATGGGTATAATCATTGCCTCCTAATGGGCCCAAGAAAAATAGAGATGTCTGAAAGAATTTATTACAGCCTGCACATCATTATAAAGTAGTTAGAACAGAGACTGGGGCATATATATATATATATATATATATATATATATATATATATATAT